CAAAGAATCTAATATTTGATGTCTCTCCACAGTACTTATATGAATCCAAGATCTCTGCATTTTCTGTTCATGGGAGCTGTTTGATTTCAATCTAGAAATACATTCAATATACTTAAACGGGGGGGGGAAACTGCTACAGAACAGTTGATTGCCTAACAGATAGCACCTAGCTACCCGATAGTGACCTTCACTAGCTGTTGTATTCTGTTAAAACAAGATCATATAGCTTCGCACCAAATAAATATGAAAAATGGAAAACAGAATTGGAATATGATCAGGGGTCAGAACTAGGTTAACTGCATTATTTTCACAAGTGGTAAGAATGACCCCCCCTTTAGAAGTTTATAAAATACAAAGTTATACAACAGAGCTTCTCTTAGATTGTTTATGCAGATGCATGTACACAGAAAAATCCAGGAGCTGGTGAACTTTTCATGTTGACCAGAAAAGGGGGGAAAGAAGTCTTTATAATGCTATCTTGTGACGCCACATAGCTAGACACTGGACAAGAATGCATTCCAGGATAGGTTATAGTAACGACTTTCTTGAAAAATGGTTTCCATTTTTGGAGTATGTTTCCTCAGACCTAAAAGATTTGCATAAATTACCTGAGAAATACATGGACTTTGTATTTTATTAGATTGGATGCTGCCTTGTTTGATCCAATATTAACCTTGATAATAGGTGGGCTATAGTATGGAAATCTGCTGTTTAAATACTTACCGTTTTTTATTATCGTTAGTACTGTTCTGACTGTTGTTATCTTGTTATAAATGAGCTATTGTTTTTTGTTTGTTTAATAATAATAAAAAAGTTTAAGTAAAAAAAAAAGAATTGTAACTGATTGAGATATAGAGATCTCTGCAAACCTTAGAATTTTTTGCCAGATTTGGAAACCCCATGATCCTTTCACACCCCACACACAGACACACAATGCTATCAAATTTTGGACCAAAGTCCAGACTATCAGTCTGGATCTGATATAAACTGAGTCTGGATTGAGGGGCTCCAGGCTCTGGTGTCTGATAATGATGTCATTGCCTCATGGATTGCCTTACAGGGATGTCTATATTACAGGGATGTCCACTCATTCCATGCGCTATTAATGCCATTTCTGGGGCTTTTCCTTTTAAATGGATGGGTGCTCTGGCTCAAAGTGCAGAGTGTTTATGAGGGAGTGGGCACTCCTCCCATTGCCCAAAGGAAAAGTTGGGGGGCTGGAGCTTAAGTCTGCTTTCAAAATGGCACACAGCAATGAGCTGCCACATAACATCTCACCACAATTTTAACCCTTGAAAGTGGGTTTTTTAAATCCTTTCCCCTGTGAAACACTGCTATATATCACAGTGTGGCTCATAGGGAAAGCAAAAGGAAAGGAAATAATGGGTTTCCATGCCACGAGGCAGCCCAGCACATTTGCTGTGGCACCTGTGGAATGGCATCAGTAACAAGTGTCATGGGAACAGAGGGATGTGGATATAATTCCTGCCATTCCCAGGATGCCTTCTTCTGCTGCTATGCTTTTTTCTCATCCCCCTCTGGAAGCATGCTGTATCAGTTTTACACATTACTGTCATCCATATTGGTGAAGCAAGCAAGAATCCTCCAGCTGAAATCATCCCTTCTTGTTAAATTTCTTATTACCCTTGATATTCTGTAGACTGTGATTAGGTGACTGCTTCATATTTTCAATTAATAATTTCACTTTCACAATGATAGCAATAATAAAGATGTCTTCCCCAGAGTAGGAACACAGTTAAAGGTGAATCAAATTAATTCTTAGCCTCCTGTATCTATGGTAAGATGAGATCTATAGTGCCAGATGTTCTTAAATGCTCACTTGACCCTCACCAACTGCACTGCAGTACTTCACAGACCGCACCTTTCACTGTTCTCCCCATGTATACCCCACAGCTAGTGTCAACAGCAGAACCTGCACATGGGGTAAGTATGTATTATTACTCTCTATTAATTTGTTTCTTCATTTTTATTTTAATTCCTTGAGTCATGATTGCTGTTTTATCATGTTAGATAACCAAACACAAAATATGTCCCAGTTTTAAAAATTACAAACCTGATGACCTGATTTAAAATCTATATATATGAACAAAAAAAGGTTATCATCACTTTGGTTGACAAATGTATGTCAGTATAAATGTTGCAAACAGGAATGCAAAACTGTATTATGACTTGATATGGCTATACTTGATTACAAACTAAAATGAAATTCTTCCCCCCCCAGCTGCCTATTATTCTAAACTCTTGAGCATATGCAGAACTTTAATATACATGTTGGGGGTCGGGGCAGAAGAGACTGATCATCACAGTGTGAAGAGTGTGACAGCCCTACCTGAAGGAGGTGGGACTTGCTGCACAATAGGATGGGAAAGGGCAAGGGGAAACCGGCGCACAGGAGCCACCCTGAGATGAGCTGCCAGGACGGTCACTGCATAGACCTAAATCAGTCCCACTCCCTGCCAATCTCCAGTACATGAGTGGGGAATTAGGGCTGAGATAACTGCATTGACCCAAATCTGATAGTACTGCAAATTGCGGCAAATGCAAACAAACAAGAAACAAAAAAGAAGACAACACTGACCACTCTCCTTAACCAAGTTATAATATACTTGTGCTTCTACAATATACTCAGTAATACTTGCTACTAAGGCAGACTGAAACCTACCATTGTATTAATCAAGGATCAAGAAATATTTATTCCTGGACTAATCCCAAGGTTTACATCAAAGCAGAGGAAATATTATCACAGCAAGTGAACAAAATGATTACTCGTTTTGTTACATGTTACATTAAAAATCCTCAGTCCAAAAACAATCCTTTATTTTCTTGAGTTTCTAACAGTAGAATATTCTATGAACAAAACTCCAAAAACCTAAAGTTCAAAGATAATTATTCCCAAATACGAAGAAAAAAACTGAACCCAAAGACTTTATTCACCATCTATTGGGGGGGGGGGGGATGAGAAAATTAACAGATTAAAGGCATGCCAAGGTAGACGAGACAATGCACCTTTTTCTGTTTTGTGGTAAATGAAAGCTTCTTTGAGGACAGATCGTTAAAAAATAAAGGCAACAAGTGTCTGATTCTTTAGTTTTTGGTTACGCATGCACACCTGATATTTGAGTGTTCTTTCATCTCTTTATGCTTAGCAAATGGTTTGGGAACCAAATACAGGCCTTCTACTCATGAGACAGAACAGCAGACAGTGGTGGGATTTTGCTTTGCATTTCTTTTGCAGCAAGCATGTTTCCTGCCCACATAGTGGCAGGAACGGTTTTGCTTCCCATCCCCCTCAGAAAAGGAGGCAGCAGACATTGGGGTGAGGAAGACAGAATAGTTGCCTCAAACTCTACTGCCAATGAGGTGACTGGGAAGTGGAGGCTATTTGAAGCACTCCCATCTTATCGGGCTTTCTTTTTTTCCTTTTTTCCTTTTTTTACTGTGGAACTCCTGACCCTCCCCTCTCTGTGACAGTAATGTGAGCGTAACACTTGGGGTCTGAGCTAGGGATGTCACCCTCCAGGTGGAACCTGGGAATCCCCCAGAATTACAGTTTATCTTCAGACTACAGAGATCAGTTCCCCTGGAGAAGTGGATACTTAAGAGGGTGGACCCTATGACAGTGTATCCCACTGAGGTCCTTGTCCTCCCTCATGTTCCACCTCCAAATCTATAGGAAAATTGATATAGAAGACAACAACCATTAAATTCGGTGGAAGTTCATATTCACTGAGTTTGTATTAAAAATTGAACATATAGTACATTAAAGACTGTGAAAAGCATCTGGTCAAAACCACTGGTGACAGCTGTTAGTATGATGTATCTTGGATTCAATAGCCCAGCTTAGCCTGAATTCATCAGAACTTGTAAGTTAAGCAGGGTTGGCCACAGTTAGTACTTGGATGGGAGACTACCAAGGGGTTGCTATGCAGAGGAAGGCAATGGTATGGAATGCCCTGAGGATGGTGTCGCCATGTGTCAGTTGTGACTCGACGGCATGTTTTTCTTCAATGCAAAATTGTGCATGAGACATGCTAACCAACATCTCATAACTTCAGCTCCTTCCTAATTTTGTCTCATAACATCCCCTGCAAGTTTGCTATTGAATATTAGAAGACTCTCAAGAATATCCTTAACTACAGTCAGAAGTAGAAATAGGAAAAGCACCTGATATAAATCACTGCAGCTTCATTTCTCTAACATAGTTGTATGTAGTGAGTTTCTTCTTGGTATAGAAGTAGAATTTAATTACATTTTTAAAAGAATGCCTTTTCTGACCTATGAATATTGAATAAAAATGTAGTAATGAACCCTAAAGAACTACATGTATAAAATAATTTGTACCAAACACTAAAGGCTTTGGTATGAATGATATGCACAAATGCAGTTCACAAAAATAACCTGCATTTGTTCAGATCGTTATGTTTGAAACCATTCTTTTTTGTCCAGTATTTTTGAAACTGTAGAGAGATCACATTATCATGTTTTTGAGGACAGTTTAGGGGGGGAAATAGATGGTTGTCCTCAAGCATCCTAGTCCTCAATTAATGCCCTACACCTCAGTCAGTGACACCCTGCTCACAAACATCACTCTAACTTGGTTTAATCTTCAGATTGAAGGGACAGTAAAAAAAGAATGGATTTTAAGTTTAGTGCTTCATTAGTGAGGAAGATGTACATTTTCATTGGTATGTTTTGGTTATGATTTCCATCAAAATTATCAGGGAGTCCAGAATATTTCATATTTGGTCACAGAATTTGGATGTTCATCTAGATATATGGCAGTTAGTGCAGATTTGGCATATACTGCAGGTTTGATTAGTTAATTACTACCTTTTAGTAGTTACATATTAATTTCACTCTCTTATGGTTTTGTAACACAGAACAAAGCAATTTTGAAAAGAAAAA